AAATACAGATATTTCAGTATATGTTACATAAAAGTAACGATATCTTTTTCTCTTACTTATCGCGATTGCTATTTCCTATCGAAAATACTTGAAAATTTAATAATTTTTTTTATAATTAAATTGCTAAAAAAACTCACCTAACATTTTATAATATAATGATTTTCACTTTTATAAATACAAAATAATGCAATTAATTTACATTAATTTCGAACAATGTATTATCAATATTATATCTTATATAGCGATTTAAAAAAATTTTAAGTTTCGAAAATGCAATTTTAATACATTGAGAAAAGTCGTTAAATAAGGTCTACTTACAAAATTATAATATCGTATATCAGATTTTAAAACTTATTTTATTCGCTATTGTAATTGCGAATAATTACATAGGTTGCAAGTTGTATAAATAAGCTTTAAATAATTGGAAAATATAGAACTGCAAAAAGATTTTAAAAATGAAATATGTGAATCTAAATAAATAAAGATATTTTTTTAATGAAAGCTTTAATAAATCTATTTAGTCTAATTATAATTAGTTATACTAATTATAATTAGTCGTCGAGTCGATATGTGTTTTTCTTCAGTTCTTCATATAAAAAAATATATTACGCAGATATAATATCTATTAATTTTATATCTGTCTTTTTTCTTTTTTTCTTTTTTTCTTTTTTTTTTTTACATTAATAAAAACTTTATATCTAATTCTAACTCAACTTCGATTAAATTATTACAGTTTTAGTTAACCAAGTCGTACTAAATAAAATTAAGTGGCAATTATTTAACAAAGCCATAAAATTATTGCTAAAATCAATTAATCCTAAGAATGAGTAATAATACATATCTGCCAAAATAATATTTAAATAAAACATTAGTATTCTCATAATCCTAAAGGAATTGCATTATATAATTATATAGTAAAGGAAATTGAATGAATGTATTTTTGCCGGTTTTTAAACTACCATTTATGTAATTTACGGATTTCAATCATTTTAATGAGAACGTTAAACGATAAATATATACGATAAATAGATATTTATGAAATTATCGTTTGTATAATCCCTTGTTTATGATCAGCTAAGTCATAATTTAATTATTCCTTCGCAATTTTTGTGTTAACAGATTTCAATTTATTATCAATAATCACGGTCATAAATTTAAATTAATGTCTACTTATGCGATTAAATAGCAGAGGTCCATAGTTGTTGCCACTGCTGCTTATCGATTAGCTTTCAAAAGTTTTCCAGTGTAGAAAAATCGTGATCTAGGAAAATTATAATACTCAATATGCAAGTTGATGTATAACTAAATAATTACATTTAACTCGATAATAACAGAAAAATCACTACCGTTATAAAACCTTAATAAATCATTAGCGAATATTTCTCTATACTATAATTATTTTCAGTTGGACTATTGCCTATAACCAGCCAATTGATTATACTAACATTTAAATAATGATACTTGACTGTGGATTCTCACATTAACATCAACTCGTCTATCATTATAATCTAGAAATGTATTAATGATGTGTGGTAAAAAATGTCTTATCAGTTATAAAAGATTTACTTATTCAATCAGATGTCTAGTATTACTTACATGCAATATTTCATATCTCAATAGATATTCCATTATATTATTAACTTCCGAATTGCAAATTAGTATTTCGTTATTACTTCGTCTGGATATATTAATCTTATTTGTACTAATTTAATTCACAGAAAATTGCAGTTTTAATAAATAAAAAATGCATGATTTATTTTAAAAAAAAATTTTTGTTCATCTATTAGTTTTTATAAAACTTAATTCGCTTAATAAATACTGATAATTACATTTATCATAATTTTTTAATCAAATATTATGTAACGCAATATTTTGAATCAATATTTCATTGAAATATTTCATCAAAATCCGTTTATATTTAAACACGCGCGCGCGCCCGCGCTAATTGCACATTTGTTTTCATAACACAAACTTGCGTATTGACTATTTAAAATTAAGTCTCGTTTAAAGCGGCTTGCATGGTTATTAATTATTTCAACCATCAATCAAAATTTTATTTATATTATAATCCTATTAGACTTATTATTTTGTATTTTTTTTTTTTTTTTTTTTTTTTTTTTTTTTTTTTTTTTTATTTTTATCAACGATACAATTTTCACTTTAATTTATTTTATCGATGAATAGATAAAATATACGCACTTCTATTGCCATAAATATATTTGTTAGGTATGCAATAATTTTTGCAACTGCAGATGCAATTATTAGAAATATTTTTCTATTTTATATTATATACTTAATCTTGTTCTCGATAAAAATTTTATATAATATATTCTATTTATGTATATATGCCGATTTACAATACTTAATTTATCTTTGCATATACTTGAAATATTTACATTTTCCATCGTATAACTACACATGTTTATCAATAGACATGAATTTTTTTAACGTAATAAGCATTTAAATTGAATATAAATTTTGATAAGTTTTATTTCAACTATTGATTTTCATAATAAGTATTTATTTTCATATTTATAAACATAAAAATATTATTAAACTTGTTATTTAATTTTTTATATAACTCTATTTAACTATGTTGTTGTTTCACATATATAATTTTCATTCTTACGTTATAATCAGTTTCACCATAAATTTATTCTTAATGATTATATATTATGTATTATATTATGAATGTATGCGTGTTTTGCATATTTACACGAATCATGAAAAAAATTATTTTTTCTCAACAAATTAAATATATATAACAAATAAATGAGGCTAATTGTCTCTATGTATTTTAAAACATAATCTTTACAATCAAAAAGATTAATTCGTATGTAATTTTGTACTCTATATCATACTATTCAAAGAATTAATTTTCGTATACTCTTTGAGTTAGAAATGGTTGATAAAAATGCTTTAAGCTTACTGAAATTTACTACTGCCTTTCTCCAACATATAAAAATGAAATATTTATTATTCAAAGTACATGAAAGAGAAATGCTCTTAATTAACAATTGCATTTACAATTAATAAATAATTTATTAGAAAATTCAATTATTTGTAATATTTTTTCACGATATTTTTATTTTCATACATTTTTAACGTGCGTTATATTTCTAATATTATAATAATATTATTCATAACTACCAATTGTTATTAAAGATTGTTCCATTGATGTTACTAATTATTCGTTATTAATAATAATTTCACGGGAGCTGATAAATTATAAAACAGTCTACGCCGCAGATAATATCTTTTTGAATGCTGTAATTGTAATGCGATAAATAAAAGATACAAATGGTAAATATTATTTGAACTACAGTATAAAACTAATTAACAGAGATTTTTGTGACAAACGTATAAATGTCGTAGTATAACGATGAAAAAAAATGATATTATTAAGAATTGTAATACAAATAAAATAAATTCATTTTTTATTCAAAGTGCGTGACATACTTTCATACGCATTCTTTATAAAAAAGAATAAAATTAATATTGTTTTTATATCGATTAGTGCTTATATTAGTTATTAATACTGATTGTAAAAGCTATTAAAAATTTGAATAATTACTTAATTAACCATTAATTCACTAGGTTATTTTGGCTACCGAGAGTCCCAAAATATCATATGTCCGGTGTTTGACTCACATAAATAGTATTTTCGATTAAGTCGAATGAAATCATGTCTTGTAGACATGGCAGTGAAATTTTAATGTTCATGGACGTCTATTGGGAATAAATGAGCTACTACCTCGAATTTTTGGCTTCGCCGATACGAGGATATAAGGAGCAAGCACTAAAAAATCTGAGCTTAAAACGAAGATGGAAATTACGCTATCATAAAATGCACGTATTATATCTGTATTTTACAAAATTCCATCGGCATATACGAATGTACAAGGGAAAGCAACTTAATACCTAAAAGAAAATAAGTTGGCTTGAATTAATCTGAATGCAATGCCAAAGTCGACTCGAATACTTTGAAGAAAAATATAAAAGGAAATTTCAAAAGCAACCTTCTTTATATTCAATAAGCAAGATTTTATACTAAACAGTGTAAAATTTATTTATTTATTTCTTTTTTTTTTAAGTATGAAATGAAAGAAAAAACTTTAATGCTATATTATTTAAATAAAAAAAATGTTAAATTAAAAATATGTTTACTTGTTAAATTATTGTAAATAATATATATATATATAAGAATTAGATATATATAATAATATGTAAGAAGTAAATAATATATATATATAAGAATTATATGAAAAACATTGCATAATTATATAATTCACTTACTTATATGAGTTCTTAAACTTTTATTTACATAAATATGTATTACTCATATCAGACTCACACAAGTAAGACTAATAAGTCTACTTATCATTAAATACTTTGTCATATTTTTTAAAAGATCGAAAAAAATTAATTACAAATGTTTATTTCCGATCTACAACTTTATTAGAATATAATTAAAGTGAATTTATTACAAGAACTTGAGTAACGGTTTTATTAATCGTAGCTCTAACTCAAATATATTTTCACATTACTTATATTATAAAGATTATTCATATTATAACTATTCTTATCTTTCGACAACATTCTTTTATCTACTAATTAATCGTAAATATTTATGTATTTTAATAAAGGATAAACATTAACAACAGTGTTTTGTTAAACATTAAGAATATTTATTTGTAACATACTTACAATAATATTCTCCATTGCGACGACTAATCCGTACTGTGGAATAAAATAATAACGATACTAGGCCATTGATAACATATTCACGAGTCAATTAATAGAGGAATGTAGTCAAGGAAGAATTTCCTACCTACAAACTTCAACAATCTGAACCTAAAAAAAACATGCGTCGCACTCCCTTCGTAATCCGTCATGGATCCACTAAAAGCACCGAGGCGGCAGAATCTTTCGAGTGGTTAACGGGCCACTGGAAAAGCAAATCTGCCCTCGGCAAACTAAATAATTCGACATGTCTTCAGGAACAATGCGGCTGCCGCTTCACCTCCAGGCAACAACCGCCGAGACGACGACGACGCTGGCGACGTCGCGCCGTGGCAGCTACGCGGACAATCCCAGTGGAACCCTGGAGAACGGAGGCGCGAGGCGTGGTTACGGTGGCGCCGGTACCCAGTATAATCGGGAGCATCTGGATTACCGGCAGCGGCTGCCCTATACCGCCAGGTTCCAGAAGCTCGAGTCCCAGTTGGACCTAGGCTCTTGACCGTTCGCCGAGGCCGACGGCGACGAGGCCGCCAAGTTGCGCCTCGACACCTGGTTATAAGAGACCGAGGCACGTCAGCCCTTAACTATACGTATATCGCGTGCAAAGCCCTTTCAATAATTATCAAACGCACCTGCTATTTCGTATCCTACGTGGCAAAAGAAGAAGAATATAATATATATATATATATATATATATATATATATATATATATATATATATATATATATATATATATATATATATATATATATACATATATATACATATATATACATATACATATACATATATATACATATATATGCATACACTCGAGCTCGCGCGCGCACGCGCCCTCGCACAAATTCACGTACACAGTCACACGCACTCGCGCGCGCACACACACAAATAAATAAATATATATATATATATATATATATATGCGCACCCTCGTGCGCCAATGCCGACACGCATAAATACATGCTTATAAATATACTTCGGAAATATCGCGCATTTTAGGCTATGAGTTGATCTCTCCTACCTCGTTCGTCGATATTTTGAGTATTTGTTAAAAGGACTCCGTCGGCGATATTCTTGTTACGCCGAAATACGATGGCTTTGAAAAGTTTATTGATATTACATCTTGAAGCCGATCTTGCGAGTTGAGCATTACATTGGGTGTCTAATAGTATTTTAAAGCGTGAAGAGTGTAATGTATTTAAAGGATCGAATCATATTCGAGAATCGTTTATTAACTGGCTAAGGCTGATAGGGTCTTTTTAATAATACGTCAGGAATATTATTTTTCATCGCTATTTTTAGATTATACGTTTCAGAAAGCGCCTAGTTTTAACGATTGCATTCGTAAACCGACTGTTAAAAATCACATTACACTACGAGAGTGCACATTTTACATCTTTTCAAATACCTAATTATTATTGTATTTTTTATTTCATATGCTAATACACTTTGAAAATAAAATAACGCACGCACACACACACACACACACACACACACATATGTGTATATATATATATATATATATATATATATATATATATATATATGTAGACGTATGTGTGTATAACCATTATAATTCATAGATAATTTTCAATATCAATATATAATTTTACAAATTACTAATACCACCACAACTACTAATGCGAGTACCACAACTATTACAACTACTATTTACTATACACTTTTACTATACACTTACTATTAATACTTCTATTATTGCTACTACTGCAACTACAAGTACTACCAGTGCCACGACTATTACTACAACTCCTACTACTACTACTACTACTACTACTACTCCTACTACTACTACTATCATAATCCCCATCATCATCATCATCGCCACTACTACTATTACTATCACTATTTTTATATTATTATTATTATTATTATTATTATTATTATTATTATTATTTCTGTTATTGTTATTACTGTTGTTATTATTAGCATTATAATCATTCTGTCAATAACTTTATGACGTAATAAAATGAAAACAACAAAGTTTCATTATATATATATATATATATATATATATATATATATATATATAAGTTTCTATGTATATTATTCTTATCACAAGGATCGCTTCCCAGTCTATAATATTTATTTTATATTGTTTTTTATGACTATGGACTTTGGTTTGAATCATGATCCAGGAAAATTGTGTACGCAACCGCGAGGCATAAAATAGTCGGTTTATAAATGAAACCGGTGAGATAGATTATTATTTCTTATAGGGAACAACCAAGATAAGTATTATAGAAATATACTAATTCGGAAGGACTTTTTAAGAAACATAACACTAAAACTACTGTTGAAATGTTTTTGAGATATCTTAAATATTATAATAAAAAAATTTATTTCATTATTAATTAAGTGAGTATCATGCTTTGAAAAATGATTAATTATTTTATTTTAACAAGACTTCTTATAATTTTATCTAATAATCTCTGTAAGCATCAACAACATTTTATCATGTCTTCTATGATATTATATTGTACATAATTTTTTAGAAAACAATCAATTATAATGTTCACAGCGAATTTTATGCATTTTTGGAACAATGGATTTTCTTTACTAAATATTTTAGTAAATAAAATTTTCATTGTAAAATATTTTTATTTATATCCTTAAAACATGATGTATAAATTCTATAGTAAAACTCTACATTATCATATTATTGGATGTTTCTAAAATATTAAAATATTACTAAATTATTGTCATAATCATAATTTATTAAGGAAAAGAAATTGAAAGATATGTACATTGGGAGAAAATTTATTGATCAAATTAATAAATCTGAATTAATAAAATTTTATTTAAAATATAAAATAAAATTTTATAATTTATAATCCAATACTATAAACCAATGATCCTATATCTATAGCTTTTGCGCATTAATTATAATTTCAACATTTTCAATTAAATGTTATAAATGCAAAATTTGCATTAAAATAAAATTAAGAATATATAGAATAATTAGATATATAAATATTTTAATATTTTATGATATTTTAAAATTACTATATAGTATTAATTAAGCTGGGAATTCGTTACTCCATTGAATCTCATTTAATACATATATTATCTGCATATAAACTAATATATAGATGTATATAACTATGTGTGTGTTTATATGAATATATATAATTAAATATAGAAATTTTAAAAATTATATGTGATTTTATATAATTTATTTATAACTGTATATAATATATGAATTTGTTCCATAAAACCTACAATAATCTTTTTAGTTTATACACACTTTAATCAAAAGGTATTTTTGTATATAATATGCAATTGCTATATTATTGAAATTTATCATTACATGCTTTAAATATTTATATTATTATTGAAATATATGCACTTATTCGAAATTTGAAAAACCTATAATTTTGTAAAACGTTGTAAAGATAATCGAACTAAAAAATCACTTAATAACTTAATTAATATATATATATATATATATATATATTTGTTTTTTCTATTTTTTCATAATTATTATAACTCATTCGAGCCTTTAAAATTAATTTACTACGTTATTATCATTTGACAACAAGATCCACAATAAGAATCAGCACATTTCAAAATGAAAGTATTTTCAATTAGTACTATCAAATACTTTAACAGTATTATGATACAGTATTTTTACAATTTTTTACATTAATGTATTCTTAGAATGTTCAGAACAGGTCCAGTCACGACCCATTTCTCGATCATCATTCAATTACTAATAAGTTTTCAAAACACTTAATCTTTTGATATGAGATTAAACTTTTCCAACACACCTGTATATCTGTTACATATATGTTCTTACAACAAATGTTATGTAATTAACAAAATAGCGAATTTTCATAAATTTTTATGAATTTCATTTATGTACTTAAGCCTCACCATTTTTATACATCCGTCGTCGTATTAAAAAAATCACATATTTTTACTTTACTACAACAATTTTGAAGAAAAAAAAAAAACCAAAAAAAAAACATAATGTTAGATATTATTTATTATAAATCGACTTTCCTATATTCATCTTGGTAAAAATAATATAGGATATATGATTTTTATGTTTATGTGTATTCAAAAATTTTATGTATTTATGCATGCACGCGGATAAGAAATTCCGTTTAGGCAACTCAAACATTAAAACTCGAAACGATATTGTCGGTCTTGTAAAACCGACTGACTTTATACGTAAACATTGTTAAAATCGATTTTATGAAGTCGAGCAAAACATCGGAAAATCCTTCCAAATAAAAATATGTACAACTTACTATAAGATTTTATTGTTAATACGTTTTTTATGAATGTACACGTTGTTTTGCAAATTATATAAAAGTAAGAGTCGTAGGCTTTAATTTTTCTTCCTAACCATACACTTCATACCTTTCTTCTTGCAGGATATAAATAACATTATGCCAAAATATCTAAAATAATATTATACTGTTATATACGATTGTATTTTTAATTAAAAAATATGTATCCGGAAAAATAAAGTTGATTATTATTTAAAATAATTCACCCATTGCTCTAAAAATATTTATTGATAATGATCATATTTTTATAGTTTTCTTATTATCAATATTTTTTATAGATAACAATTACATTTTGAACGAAATTTTTATTTCAAAGTATCATAAGATATACCAGTTTAAAAAAAAAAAAGAAAAACATAGTAGGTCACGAAACTGGCTTATCGCTTGATATTAAAATATTATGGTTTATCAATTTTTAAAAATTTTCCATCTCAATCAATCAACTTACTCAACTTATCGGAAAAAGCAAAAATAATTCTTTATTATTAAATATCCTGAACTAAATAGTAATAGTTAGCGTTTGAGCAATTAATATATAAAATTTCATTTTAATACGAATTTGATCAAATTTATTAAATAATTGAAAACCATCGTAATAAAATAAACTCAAATAGAACCATTAAGGCTTATAAAAATAATGAAATATTTGAAATAAATTTATATTTACTTTATATATTATGATATTAAAGAGGAAATATTTTTAATTTTCATTGGTAAATAAAAATCAATTAATTAGAGAAAAATTTATTGTAATAATAAATAAATTAATGGAGTTAATATGTAAATACAACGTCTAAATAAATTCGATGAAATTGTTATAAATGAATATTGATCTTTATAAATCTTCTATTCGTAATTTAAAAAAAATTCAAAATAGCGTATTTTTTAACTTTTTACATTTACATTACTTTTTACATTTAACATGATTGAAATAAATATACATTTTACATAAATATATTACAAATAATTGTTCCATATTGAAATTTTACATTGTAAGCTATGAAAAATAGAAATTATATTCTTTTAATAGTATTATTCGGAATTATAGAAATGTTAAAGAAAATCGTACATCACATCATAGCCCCACGATTATCCTAATCACCATGAAGATTGTTTCACAGTGAAAGCACTCTGTTACCTTAATTAACAATAATTATTTAAATACTCATTCATTAATATCCTTGATATAATACATTCATATACATATATAGTTTTTTTGTTATATGAAATGCCAAGGATATTAATTAATTTATATATATATATATATATATATATATATATATATCCGGTATATGGAATCTATTGGAACAGTATCAATTTCATTAATCATTCTCCGCAAATATATATACATATTAGATAATATTACAGGTTATAAATAGCAGATAACATCTATGTGATAAACAACCAATATACAATTAATTTCTATCATAATCGAACTATTAATGAATTATTTAATGAAAAGTATTTCTTTACAAAACTTTTGATTACCTATGAATTTACACAAATACAACTTTACACGTTAAAAATACATTTTCATGAAATTAAAATTACTTTAATTACGAAACTATTTAATTTAATAACTTGATGTTACTGAAGTATTATTTTACTGATTTTGCTAATGGAAATTGTGTATATTGTGCAATATATAAGCGTGCATAAGCATATATTAAATAAACAGAAAATAAAATATAAACTATTTCAGATGAAATAAATTGTAAGGTAAGGAAATGTGGAATCACTAAAATCACATTTTACAATGGACCAATCAATATTTGTATACACTACACAAAGCATGAAGCATGACAATTGTGATTCATTATTTACACGAATACAATTTACACACAATTAAATGTTGGTTAAATGCAGTTATGACAGTTTATTATATAGCTTGCAACAATATTTAATTAGCCTAGCTGGATTTCTTTTATTTCGTAAAAAAAATACCTAATATTACAATTCCATTGCTAAAAAATCCATAATTCTAATCAACTTTTAATAAAGTATTAAATAGAAGTAAAATTTGAAAACTATTTTTAATATTTATTTTAATAGTTAACTATAAAAAAAAAAAGTTAATTACTATATAGCCATTCATTAACTGAAAATATTTGAAAATATTTAACTATAATATAATAATTGTGAAATTATTAGTTTGTTCGTGTTTAAATTTAATGCTTAATAGAATTGAGTGTCATAAAAAATAAATTTCGCTAATATTACAGAGAGTACATTTAGAAAATATTATTTTATCATTTCTTTACAAGAATTTCCAACAATTTCCAACATAATAAATATTGTAATTATCAATCAGATACACACATTAAAATACAAAAAAAAGAAAACAAATATAAAAATATATAAAAAATATATTTTCATTAATTTTATTAAACTTCATATCAATATATATATATATATATATATATAAACATTTTTCATATTTAATTGAAAGAGAAAAAAATTGATTTGTATATAAACGATAAACTAACTATATAGTTAATTTATAATTATAAACACTTTTAAAGAACTTATTGATATACTGATTTTCTTATTGTACTGATAAAATAATTTTTGAACATTCAAATGATAAATGGAATGTAACTTGAACTTTTATTTATCTTAAAATTTTTAACTGATAAAGAACAAAAATGTAATTATGATATAATCTAAAAAATCTTTTTAAATTCCAAATAGATAAGTTATGATTGATTATTGCCTTAGGAGTTTTTCGGGATTATCCCCCCCCCCATTCAATAAAGATACAGAAACCATTATTCACTTGTATTGAAAACTACTAATTAGTAAAGAAATTGAAAGTTCTAGTTGGTAATTATTTATGAATATTTTCTTTTCGAGATTCCGACGATCTCTCGAACGGCTATCATTTTGGGAAAAAAACCCCAACGGTTATACTTGTCTATGAAATTTTCCAACGGTCTTTAGAAGTCCGGAAAAACAAGTGCACAATCGCATCCATTCTTTCCAACACCATAATCGCCTCCCTATTGTCAGCTAACAAAGCTGTGGCGTAGATTTTTAAGGCAGACGCACCATGATAGAGGCGCAACTCAGCCATGAGATATTTTTCAGCCAAAACTGAGTCACTCGAGCAATCGCACACACTTTCAGCAGAGCCGATACTGAAGGTACACTCAACAGATTTATACTAAATCGAGTTTACACATACTATGTGCCCCGAGCATGAAGCTGTTGCAGGACTTTCTCACCCTTCCACACCACAAGACAGCTTGGAGGAGACGAGCAATCAAGCTACCACCATGTGCCACTACACGAAGAAGTGACTTACGACCTCTCACTTCTCAGTATAGTACTTCACCACCAAGGGCACTGCATCAAGAGGAACCGGAGTGCATGCTAACACCGCGTGACGGCCACCCAAGATCTCAACGCAAGATCTCAACGATTCACATCATCAACTTAGAGAATCATTATAGTGTAGTTGTAATTCAACGCAATAAACAGCACGACACACAGATTTGTTAAACATTCAATTACAATATTTATACAAAGTATTATTCTAAAATAAATCCACTATCTTGTACACTCAATATGAATGTACTCGAGTAACGAAAGCTTAATCAAATATCGATGATATTGCCATATAAAAATTGAAGGTTTCGAGTAAAAAAAATCCATATAAAAAATCATTTGGCATTTCTCATTGAATAAATCAATTAATTGCGATTAATAAAGCAATTAATCTCATTTATTTCATTTTATATACTTATCGTTTTTAAGAATTTCCAATAAAAATAAATCTGTACAAATATGCTCAATGAATGATTCGAAGAACGTGTAAATCTATGTTTTACATGTTTTTAGGAATAAAAATAATAACATTCCAATATATGTATAATAATTTACTATTTATTATTATTATTATTATTATTAATTTTTTTTTTTTTTTAACACACAATTAAAACGAAATTTACATAATCTTCGTGATATTTATTTTTCGAATAGTAGAAACATATATTTTATTTTAGTCAACATATTTTCTGTGTATTAAGGATCTGAAAATTATAAAAACTGTTATAATATAATTACATTTATATAAAATTAATCAAGCATGTTAAATATCATATTTTTCATAAAAAAATATTTTTCCCTCTAAATTTCGATGCACATTTGTTAATTCATTTTGATATAAATTCAAGTTTTGTTTAAATTAAGGCTTGATAATCGGCCTATTAGATATATTTATGACTTGTTTTTTCTCGAATAAACAAAATATTGAAAATTAATTTTGAATAAAAATATAAATGTAATATTTATTCAAGAAATTTAAAATAATGCTTATAATTCATATCATTCGTTCTTATTTTATTGTATATATATTATTATTTAAATTTAATTTTCAATTTACATTTTTTACGTACAATTTATCATAAAATGCAATATCCAAAATAAAGATTTCATTAAATATTATTGATCTCTTTACAAGGACGCAAAACCATTGTTGCAAATTTTTTTTTTTTTTTTTTTTTTTTTTTTTTTTTTTATGGACAGTGAAAATTTATGTCCTTATAAGAAAAGCAAAAATCACAAAAGAACTTTTAATTTACAGAGTACATGCACATAAAAATTATTCATGCTAAGTACAGATTTATTACTGCCCCGTAATTACTTAAATTTATGCTGAGCGTATGCTTATAAATTCAATAAAAAATATATATTATTTTCAACCATAAAAAACTAATAAGTTTTATTTTTATTATGTGTATGAATTTTAGTTATTCCAATGATTTACTGCGAGCACACATTAAACTATATAAGTAATGTGTTTTTAGTATGATTCATATGTTAAAAATTATGTCACGTTTGTATAAAAATGAGATGTATTATATTCAAAATTACATATGTCAATTTCTCACTCTTTTATACAGACGTTAAATAAAAATGCTAAGCTTATTTCTCGGAGAAATGGAAAAACTCGTTGCTTCACGGTATGTAATGTAACTTTGGTTCACGCATCTTCGCTCGACGCCACAGCTTTTTCAATGCAATGTAAAAGAAAAATGTATTCAACAACTTGTCAAAAAGTACTTTTATTTGCTCTACATGTCACTTATATTCGTTTAATAACTTTAATTCGCTTATGCCAATAAAATTTAAACACATTTATAAAAGCATACTAAGACTCAAAGAACACGTCAATTAGACTCATCTCATCTCCAAAGAAATGCTTTCGCCGTCGACTTTCCCTCTCTTCCCTGAACAATTCCGCAATACTCGATCGATCGAATGGCTCGGTACTCTCGAGTTTAAGTAGCAACGCGTCCATGTCGTTGGCAAAAAGCGCGCCTATGCTCTCGTACCTCAGCAATTTAGGTGTTCGCTGCTCGACGAGACGACCTAAGTATCGGGCGACGTTCACCTGGCCGGCGATTTCTCGTCCTCCTGAACATTTAAGTCGACACACCGCTGAATCGTCTCCAATACTCCAGATGAGAACGAGGATAAGCTCTGGCAAGGAGTTGTCGAGGTCACCCGGACCCAATACGTCGTCGTAGAATCCTCGTAAATCGTCGGAAATCATGGATTGGTGCAATGTGGAATGTAAATGAACGGATGTGCGTATAGAAAAAGTTTGTTTTAAAAGGGCCAGAAGAGGTTTGACGAAGTAAGGCGGATACCTCGGGTCACAGAACATTACTATGTCTTCTTTAATGGGTTCTAGAGCTCTCACTGGGACGTTTAGCGAATCATTTACACAAGGTTCGTTGGGCTTTCTCAATTCCGCTGAAATTTCGCATCTGTTAAAAATTCGGATACACAAAACATGAATATTTTTAGTGCCTTACGCATTCCTTTTGTAGGGAAAGGAGTAACTGTTCAAGTAGGTACATTCAGACAACTCTATAATATAACTCAACTAATCATAATATTAAGAGATTCTTTTTATTATAATTGATCAGAATAGTTTTTACAAAGAATAAAAAATATAATAATAGTAAAATAAGTTATTACTTATCGAGACGACATAGTGGATCGTTCTGAACCATTTCTAAGTCAATTTTCGGCCCGACCAGATCTCTTATATTGTTTAGTTTGTATTTTATCATTGTAGGCCTGTTAAAAATAATTGCAATGTTTCATTAAATCATAAAAAAAATTTTTTTACAAATATATCCAAATTAATTGACTATTGAATTGAAAAAAATAATAGAAAATCCATGAAAATTCGATCAAATTTGATCATTTGTTTTTTGGTAGACTTTAATTGGATAGATTTTGGAGTACAATACTTAAAACAAAAAAGTATTTAATTTTCTTAATTCTTGTATTTTTGAAGAATCATAAATAAATCATTATGGATATATTCATAAATTTTCATTTAAGAATCTGAATTTTTGTTTACCTTTCGAGCGATAAGCCCCAAGCGATTACATTGACATTTTCTGGTAAACCCATTGGCAATAACATTTCTGGCCTAAACATACCACTGTTTCCAATTTCGATCCATTTTCCTAAACCCTCGTGAAAACAAAAAATTTCCATACTTGGCTCGGTATATGGATTGTAAGCTGGCTTAAACTCAAGTTTCGTAATACCAAGTTTCTTAAAGAATTCATAAAGAGTACCGATTAAATCACCTAAGGTAAGATTATAATCAGCTATAACACCTTCGACTTGATGAAATTCAGCTAAATGCGTGGCATCTAATGTTTCGTTTCTAAATACTCGATCAATGCTGAAGTATCTTACCGGTTGGAATTCACCCTAAAACAATTAAAACTAATTTAAGAAGCTGAGACTCAAAGATTTTTTCTTTCAATTACATTTTCATTTACATACTTGTTGCATTAATTTATATAACATACGAGCACTGACTGCAGTAGTGTGCGTTCTCAATAAATTTTTTTGGGCTTCCTCAATTTTCCAATCATAGCCATAACCTTGTGAGCCATAGGCACCCTCGCTATGAACTTTTTGAACCCTTTTCAAATAATCTTCAGGAAAAGATGTGCTTACAGCAGGTTCTATGATCGGTAAATATAAATTTTGTTTATGCTGCATTTAATGAAACTACGAAAAGCATAGAATGAGTGTAAAATGTAATTTTCCATACCGGAAATAAAAAAAGTATCGTGGGCATCTCTTGCTGGATGTTGTTGAGGTTGAAATAGGGCATCGAAATTCCAAAACGAACTTTCTACATAATTATTAGTTGGCATTTCTTCGAAACCCATTTCAAGAAATATTTTTCTAAACTCTGAACGAATTTTTAACAATGGATGCAGATGTCCAACTTCTATTACTGTACCACGTGAGTCCAAATTAATAGGCTTAAAATTCTTCCCCTTCCATGCATCGTTAATCAATAAATCGGCAGTTAGATCAGCTTCTGGTTTATCAACCTTAATTGAAAAGTTTGATCCTTTCTCAATTGTCATAACCTTAACAATACTATATTGTAAAATAATTACCAATAGATAAACATTCAAACATTATATTAATATTCTATAACAACAACAACATTCTTACTTTTCCTTAATTAATTTTCGTTTCTTATATTCTTTCTTTAAATCGTCTGACAGCGTTTTCAATTCCTTCAAGTTCTTCTGAATATCATCCGAAATACTATGCACCTTTCTCCTTAGGATAGCATCATTTTTATCCTTCACCAATTCAACCCAAGAGGCAGCAAGAGCCTTGGACAACCCAACTTTGGCATAAGGAACTTTAGCAAGAATATCCGCTTGTCGAATTCCATTCGTGTCGGCAGGAACAGCATTATACACAGCTGCTTCGTGACTACCATGTTCTACCACGTGTTGACCTTCCTCGGTCAAAATCCATTCTTTGCGGCTTTCAATTTGTACATCTATTAACTGGACGTTAAAGATATAATTATTATAATGGGAAAGCAGCTAAGGAAATATATACCAGCACCGTGTAATACAAATCACTTATGAAATAGGATATTTTTTACAATGCACGTTTACAATACGGTGCTACAGCCCGACACTATATATTTATTTGCATGTTTTCACATTCCATGATTACAAATTAATCCTGGAGGTTAAACTAATATACTAAAGTACGTAAAACTAAAGTAAATGATCAAATAATAATAAGCAACTTACATTTTCGAATGCCTGCAAACTTTTGATAGCTCCTACAATCTTCTGATAATCAACATTAAAATATTTTGACAGATTAACAGAATCATCCTTATCATGTTTATCTATATAATCTAGTATTTTCTCCGACAATTCGCTAACCATCGTATTAAATTGTCTAGCAAATCCTTTAATAAAACAAAATATACGCGACGGTAGAAAATTTTTACTAAGGCCACGTGTATTATATCTATGCCAATACCTCAGCACTACAACTACAGTGGCTTCGCATGTATGCGTCCTGCATATTAAATGTCATAAACAATCATTGAATAAAAATAAAATTACAAATCATTTTGCCTCGATATTTTAATACTTTTCTCAATAACGGTAAGAAAATGTCTTTATACTCGCTCGACAATATCCTTGAAAAATAAGATAATCTATTATTAAAATATCAATTGAAGCACAATTTCTTTCACTACTCGCCGGATTCTCTCACTCTCTCTCTCTCTCTCTCTCTCTCTCTCTTTCTCTCTTTCTCTCTCTCCCTGTCTCGCTCGCTCGCTCGCTCTTTCATTCCGCGGATAATTATAGATTTGCACAATTCTAGAGTAAGATTGAAAATTTGTAAAATGTGTAAAGGAATTTGAATGAATTGAATTATTAAGGATATTGAGATCTTTTATGTTTAAATTTATTGACCTTATTACAGGAATTTAACATAATTAATATTTCGTTAAAATAATGAATTTTTTACGCGCTTTCTTCTTGGACAATTTCCTCACAAATTCTATTCTAAGCGGTTATGAATATATATATATATATATATATGCACATTACTCCAATCAACAGACATACGTTAAACAGCGGCGCCATCTAGTTGATGAAACTATAACCAACGTAGGGTAAAGAGAGAGCAGACGTTTGAATACTTTTCTCTTTAAATTGAACAATCGATGAAGAAGGAAAAGTAGTTGTTCTATGCTCCGTTAACGCGTACTAGAATACCAACAATACTTTCCAATACATAATTTTTATTTGTAATAATTATTAATAACGAATGAGAATATGCGGCCAATAAAAAGTACGTATTCGTAAACTTGGCTGAACGGCACTGCCTTCAATTTACCGATTAAATGCAATTATTCATTAATTCTTAAAAAAAATCGCAATGTTATCATTATCATGAACAATTATTTGTAAATTATCTTTGAAATACATTTATGAAATGTTAAAAGTAGACCAGCGGTCTCCTCAACATTCGTAACATTTTCAAATACTTAATCGATAGATATAAGAGCACACGAAAGACGCAAGTGGCTTTTTGTAAGCCAATAATTCGATGATTTAATCTCTTTATGTGCAATAATTAATTGGCAAGCTCGTCTGAAGAGCTGTAAGCTTCATTCGATTAACCAGGAAGTCCCTAGACTCGAGCGAAAGTAGGCATCCACCGAAGCTCGAGTCATCATCGGGACGTGATTTTTTTTCACAATGCGCAGCCTTGATTTCGTTGCATAATTGTAAATTAGGCCAAAAGACTCGTTCCTAAGGTTCCTAAGGTCTAAATCGAGGGTAAAGGCCTGCATTTGAACGAGGGTTGCATTGTAATAAATGAGAGCAAGAAGCCCTTCGTGCAAGGGCATTGCTAAAATTACAAAAGACACGTCGAGAGCCGAATAGACGCAAGTGATGATCGAAGCATCCTCGAACGTAAAATGAGAATTCAAAGATGATGCTTTCAGCACAATGAGCGCGATCGAAGAAATTTCAGTGAAAGAAGTGAAGGCAGCAAATTGTATATGATGCCTCAGTCAATCTTCCTTATCTCCTGCTTTTCAGTTGATTCCATCCTTTTTAATCTATATATACTTCCTCAAAATGCACAAATTATGCAAATTATAGAACCGTCTTTGCTACCTGCATTAAAATCACTAAAAGTGCATTACTTAATAGATAATTTAAGCTAGATAATTAAGACCTCATGCATTTTTAATGCATCTGTGACATTTATGCCTTAAACTACTCGATATAAAGAACTCTTTGATATAAAATAAATCTCAATCGTGATGGAAAACATAATTGACAATATGTCGAGGTTTATTATTATCAGACAATGATTAGAAAGCATTTACGATATTAAAAGTTATTATTCAATTATTATATTTGTTATTAGGATAATCATTGACAATGGTTATCTATTAGCCTTGTCATATTGACTGATACTTGGTAATTTCAACGAATTGATGATATAATGATTCGTGATTAATTTGAGACTAAAATGTTCATGCAAAGTTAATTCCATTCGCCATAAACGGCTGGCAATATAAATTTAAACGAATTTCTAACAGAAACAGATGGAGTTACTTCATTTATTCCTAATATGAGCTACGATGAATCTTTAAAAAATTTAGCCGCAACTCTAATTCAACCAAACATCATTTAAATTTACCAATCTCAATATGAGGTAACAGCGCAATCATTTTATTATCTTTATTTAAGGTAGATAAATTCATATATTTTATTACCGAGGTTTCTTTTTTTTTGTTTTTGTTTTTTGTTATTAATTTCTTTCTCTTCGTAAGAAACTGTTAAATGTCGTGGACCGCTATTGAGATGCCAGTATTTCATACTGATTTTTTATTCTGCTCGCGTGCCGTATAAATAGTCGACGACAGGTAAAACCTCCATGTTTGACTGTTGGAGATGGAGGCTTCCAATATAATTAGATTCGCTTCCGAGAAAATATCAATGCTGCAATTCAAAGGCTTATAAGTTATATAAAAATAACTAAATATAAGAATAACGTAGATACCCTTTTATGAGTGAAAATTACCGTTACTTACCCACGATTAAGTATTAATTCGGCACTTTAATCACTAGTGGATAAATAAATAATGCATACTTGGCAAAATATAAATGATGAACTAAAAAATTGGAAATTTTAAATAGCTTAAAAACTGATTATTTATTTTACTTTTTTTTTCATGTTTGCTAATTACCAATCTGCGGAAAAATTCTTTCACTCCAAGTATGAAGCACTCCTTAGAATTATTAATGACATTACTTATTTATTTGATGAAAAAGCTTGATAAATATTTCATATACGCAATGATTGTGATATATATCATCTAGCTATTTATTATTAAAAATGAAAGCTCCGTATGAAATAAAAGCTTTTCCGCAATGGAATTCTTATAACAAATTAGCCCTTGTTTCTAGGAGTTATCGTTCATTATTTTCTTCCTGTTCATTAAATATATATAGCAAACATAGCTTATATTATTCCGTTCTTTTTAATAAATTAAAAGGTAAATCCATTATTTTCATAAGTAAATCATTATTTTTATTGGATTATAAAGAAAAAATTCTTTTTCAGCGAGCACGCTTAAAAATACGTTAGTCACTGTCGAAAATCTTGAATAATATTCCATACGCAAAATTTTAAAAAATATATCATTTATGAATAATAACACAAATTTAAAAAGAAAATTTCATACACTTAATTTTATTTGCTCTCATAGGTAGATTTGAGAACTCTAAAAATAATTGATTTAATGCATAATTTATTGCTAAAATTATAATACAAACAAGTCCTCGTCGAAATTGAATCGAGCACGTCCGGTTGTTAGAAAAATATTGGTTTGATCGTTTCAATCGGGCGACAATAATATACACACATTCTTGAAATATATGAATAAACCGTACTACTACAAACACGATAACGCATTATGGAAATTTTATATTACGCGTGCATAGATGCTTCTTTGAAATAAATAGAAGTAAAATAAGTATTGATTCATTTACTTAATCATATAATGCAAATCGTAAAAAATAATTTTCCAATTGTATAACATAAATATTACAGCTAAAATATTATATTATTCCTTGACATCAATTAATTACAAATAGCATTATTTTCTTTAATTTCATATGCTTATAAAACGAATGATTAAAAATAATAAATAACGTTTAAACACTTATTGAATATTAAATGCATTAGTTAGTTAAATGTTGAATAATAATATATATTACACGCTTAATTAAATCACGTATTGAATATATATATATATATATATATTTTTTTTTTAATTAATTACAAAATATTAAATTATTGATTCAAATGATCACAATTATTGTTAAAAAAATATATGACAGCTTTCATTCAAAACAATGATATTATTTTTGCCTTCTGGTGGCTATTCGTATCCCGTCCAAATCTGTATTTAGCCAAAAGCCTTTTTGATATCAAAAGCCACTGTCGGTATATTCTAATCTCGATTATAGGATTTTACTTAACAAACTAAAGCTAACTGATATTTTTAGAAATTTAAATCAATTATAAGAAGAAAATTAAATATAAAATAATCCAATGCTTAATACTTTTTTTTTTTAACTGTCCTTATTAGATTTATTATAGCATTGTTTAAATAATTATGACATAAAATTGAAGTTTTCCAAAACAAGATTAAATATTTCTAATAAAGCATATTTGGAAATGTGAAAATGAACGATTGAAATAAATAATAAATAATATATATATATATATATATATATTACTAAGTGAAGTTAATTATATTCTATAATCACAATCACAATATTAAATTTTAATGTAGCGTTTTTGAACTGTCTATTGAAACAAATAGCATTTTATAATAAAAGTTCTGTATTGTGCAAATAAACAAATCAGTCAAGAAATAAAGAGAAATTCTATCTGTGTTTATATATCGAATGGTTTAAAGTAAAATTGAATTAGAAAAATAAAAAATACATAAAGCAAAATTAAATCTTATATGAAAAGTTTAACATAATATTTTATTATTACTTACCAACAATTCGATTATCATTAAAATTTTGTAATAAAATTATTTTCTTCTTCACGGCATTAATAATTACACTTAACTAATATATGCAAAATAAACAAATTAATAATTTAATTCTACATTAAGATTATAAATTTTTTTTTTTTAAATAACTTTATTCGTGCAAATACCACTTATTATATTTTTAATTTTATTTAAATAAATAGCATTATAGCAATAGTGTTTCTATACAAATAGCAAAGCGCTGTAGATTAATAGGAGTAATCAAATGTAACAATTATAAAGGTAACAAAAAGACGTAACATTTTGTATAAATAAATCAAATTCTATTAATAATAAATTAAATTCTGAAACTATAGTTATACGTATGTTTCTTTATATATTAAAAAGTTATATGAATAATAATTTTTATACATTTATATGATTAATTAAATATTAAAATTAAATATTAAATATTAATTATATATTAAAAAGTTATATGAATAATAATTTTTATATATTGATATGATTAATTGAAAAATTAAATATGTAATATATTAAGAATGTTTATAAAACGTATTTTTATAAAAGTTTATGAAAATATTTAAAAAATACTTTTTAACGAGAATTTCATCTAAAATCTTACAAGATTATTATTATCTTAAACATTAAGCATTGATTATTAAATTTGCATTAATACAAATGTATTATAGTAAATGTTTACTTTTCAAAAAAAAAAAAAAAACAGTTATAAATTGTAGTACAAATTATCTAAATAAGATTTTTATTATAAAACTAAAAATATGTTTATTAACATTACGTGAGTATATAAATGATGCTCAAATAAAACATTTATTTCATTGTATATAAATTATTTATGATTATCAATAAATAATTTATATTAAATACAACTTCTGATTAATTTAAAATCATTAAATTTCTTTAATAAAAAATACGATGATAATAAAAATATGTTTATACTTATAGATTTGAATATGTTTGTACTATAATTGATTCCTAATAAATAATAACTGTATTTGTTTTTTTAAATCATTGTAATTCACTTAATGAAAGCTTATTAAAATTGAAATTAACAATATTTCAATTAAAATTTGACAATTAAATTATGAAAGAATTCTAATACTTTCAGAGAAAAAGGAATACAAGTAAAATGTTAAATAAAGAATATCATAAAACTTCTCAAATAGTGATGCAGATACTAGGATTATGGCCTTATCAAAATAAAGCTAAGAAAATGTTTATTCAATGTATTATTTTGTCTATTTTATTATCTTTTTTAATACCACAGGTAAGAAAACTTATAAATAATATATACAAATATATGATTTTAATTAATAATAAATATAAAAAAAAAAATTGTTTTATATTGTTTTACCATGATTTCGTTACATCATATTTAATATTATATATGTTAATTTTTATCATTGATAACAAAATAATAAAAATATATTATGAAATACAGATTTTGATATGTATTTTTAATTATTCATTAAAGCATATCCAAATATTAAAAATTATTTAATAATTGTTGTATGATTATCGAAAGCTTCTATATGATAACATAAATTTCATTTACTTACATGAAAAATAGTTAATATGTAAGTAAATAAATTCCCATTAATTTATTATAAAGCTTATATATTTCAATTAAAATATTCAATAATTTGTTTCATAAATAATAATATCTCATTTCAAGTATAAAATTCAATTTTATGTTTTACACAAAATGTATTAAATTAAATTAAAATATATAATTAAGCAACAACAAAATTAATCTTATAAAAATATCGTTCAAAATACTTCTTTACTATTTTAATGCAATCAACGTTTTTATGTGTTAATCTATTTTACGCAGAAATTCCAAAATTCAATTCCCGAATGTATTGTACATGACTGACTATTAAATTTCTTATACTTTTCAAAAAAAAACTTCAACTATTTCATTCAGTACTCAGTACTATTATTACTTTCTTGTATATACATGTATAGTTTTTCTAATTCAGAAAAAATTTATTTATGGTGAAAAAACTTTATTTATTACAAGTAAAAATTTTAGATAACTTTTTACGATAAATGAGAACTTAATTTTCATCATTTATAATGAAAATAATATCATATTACCACAAATATTATGTATATATGAATTAATATGTGAATTTTATAGACATTAATTATATTTGTACAGATACTGTCATTAAAAAAAGAATGGGGACAAAATTTAATTTTTGCAATTCAAAATATCTGTTCGATAATATTTGCATTCATTGTTATCTATAAATATGGAATGATAATCATAAACAGTTCAAAAGTATGTTGCCAACCAAAATAAATTATACAATTTTCATGCAATTAAATTTCTATTTGAAAAATTAATACTCACTGAAGACATCATCTCAATGGCGCGTAATTTATTGATATTTTCTCAAATTAACTTAAAGGTCACTCAATAACAAAGTTTGAACAATCATTTATTATACTAAACTTTAAAATATATGACTAAGTTAAGGCTCTAATAGTATTTTGTTGTAGAGTATTAAGATTTATGATTCGTTAAAATGTACGAGTGATATATAATTAGTTTTCAAAATATAATATAATATGTTTCAATTAGGGATTTAATATAGAAAATTTGCATTATCAAATAATAATCATTAACAAAAAATTTATTAACAGATAGATTTATTGTTTTGTAAAATAAATCAAATGTATAAAGATATAATAGAAAAGGATGAGCTTAATTTAATGGATAAACGTTTAGAAAAAGGAAATTTTTCAATCTCACTATATATTGGTAACTATAAAACATCGTTTTAATGTTATATAATGACATGAAAATAAATACATTACACAAATGACGCAATATATAAATCAAATTTTTATCCAGTGTATACACATTTTAGTACAATAATTTGGATTATAATACCAATTGTACCACGTATTATAAATGTTATATTTACACATGCTAATTGTACATATCCTAAAATGCATATTATCTCTTTCAAATATGTATTCTTCAAACAAAAGGACTACTTTTACATATGCTATTTTCACACTATAATCATTGACGTAACTACGTGTCTTATATTTTCTTGCGCAATCATAATATTTTTCTACACTGTCGCTATTAATTGTGGCTTATTCGATATTGTATGGCAAGTTATTATCATAATCGATTCACAAATACGACTTTCTATATGCACACGTACACACGCGCGCGCGCGCACATACACATCTTTTAAAGAATCTAATACACTGTTATATTTAAAAATTGTATAAATGTAAGTATCAATTTCGAGATTTAAACACTACCGAACATGTAAAATTAATATAAAAAACGATTTTATCTATAATGTAATCGATATTTTTTAATACACTCCTAGCTGTAAATCTTTTTTATACTATAATAATCTCGGATGATATATTTAATTTAATTTAAAAAATAAGATTGATCATATGGTTGTACCGAGTAATGGCTTAAGAGAATAATTCGATGTTAGCAATTATATAATAATTATTACTTTGCTATTATATTTTATCATTACGTGGTTGAAAATAGCCCTTTAAATTATTACTAGTCATTTGCTTTTACAATTAAATTTATTATTATATTATTATGAAATTAAATATTGTATGTTATGAATGTATTATGTTAATATCATAGAAAATCTTTTTTCTTAATTATATAATGAAACATAATCATTGCAAATTCTTGAAATTATTTGCTATTACAATACAATTATATAATTATTTATTTATGAAACTGTATTATAAATTTTCACTATAATTATACCAATTCAAATTATTCATATATATATATATATAACTATTCTAAAAATACAAAGTTTGTAGAGGCATTTCATAGTATAGTAAAGGCTCATAGATGCATATTTATAAAATTAATAATCTACATTTAAACACAGAATAAATTTAGCGAAGAGTTCTCTAAGAAACTTAATTCCCCAAAACAATTAATCTAAATTCATAGTTCTATGTGTAAACTATAAAAAGTTTAAATAATGGAAAATGTTGAATTTGTACAATTATAATAAAATTTATTCTATTCAAATAGTGTACGCTAAAGTTATATAATGCAATTCGAAATGAAGATCTATAATTTTTTTTAAATATACTTAAAGTATTTGTTATAATATTTTTCAAAAAAAAAAATAATTTTCGACTTCAAACGGTTGTTGACAGTGAGCTTCATAATAGTTTAGTTTTTATGAAAAAAAGATTAAGACAATTTAGGAAACAGTTTATGATAATGCTCACAAAAATAATGCAATTGTTTCAATTTTTAATATAAAAATACTATTTATACAACACAAAAAAAAACACAAATAAACAAATATAAAAATGGAATATTGCCTAATTTGAAAAAAAAATTTGGTATTATTTTTTCTAAATATAATAAATTCTAATACTAAAAAGTAATTAAATAATATAAAACCTAATACTATTATCGATTTTACCGTAAATAATTATTAAAACTTATTGAATTTAAGTAACAATTCAAAAGATTTGTCAACGTATTTAATATTATGTAACTATAAAAATTATTCTTTTGTATGATCATTAAAAAATATCTATTAATGTGAATTGAAACTACTGAAAAGCAAAATATCAATAAAGATTACCATTGCAAAATAAAACTATGTTTAATACTTTTATCAAAAAAAATAATAATTACTTTAGATAAACATATCATCTATCTGTAGAGAAAGAAAGATTGTTTAAAACATTATACATTATACATTATTAAACATAATAGGTTTTTTTTAATGTTTTTAATGTGTTTCAAACTATTATCATAAATATATTCACTACCACAGCATTGTAATTTACAGTAACTCGGCAAACTTGTAACTTTTTATATTTTTTAGATTATTTTTTAGATTTTTACTAGTAACTTTACGACAAATAAATTTTTTTAATAAAATACATTTAGTTTAATAAAAATGAAAATTTTTATTTGATTGATTTATACATTTTATTTTCTTCTAGTCTTAAGATAAAAAATATAGAAAAAGCTTCCAAGACAAGAAATTTAGCCATTCAGTTTGAATGCTGTAAATTATATAAAGAGTTTTGAGAAAAATTGTTTCAATACACAATGAATCGATCAAGTATGTGAAATTAACATCAACTAAATATTCTAATTTTCTTTTATTAATTATATCATATATTATTGCAGTTATACACATTTATTAAGCAATATTTTTGGTAGTAATTTTTTATTTGAATTAATTTTGGTTAGTTTTGTATTAGGGATCTTAACCCCTTATGTAAGTAAATACATCGAGTACTTCATGTTTCGTATTAATTTATAATAATGTAATTATCTAAGTTACTGATTAAGTTTGATGTTGTTATTATATTATAATGAGTATATATATATATATATATATATATAAATTAACTGGGAACATGAAACAATTTTCAGCTCACAATATTACGCAATGATCCATTTGCTTTTCTTCGATGTGTGTTACTAATATTTGCAATTTTTGTTCACATAGGATGTATCAGTTTCATCGGACAACAAATTATTGATACTAGTGAACAAATATTCAATTCAATGTATGTTTAAAATTGTTTACGATTAAAAAATTTTATATATGCATATTGATTTTTAAATATTATTTAATTTAGCTTTATGTAATATTTATATATTATATATTATTATATTTTGGAAAATGGAAAAATGAAGAAAATTAAAAAAATTAAAAAAAAAATGGAAAAATAATATATTATTATATAATATTTATATAATAATAAAGCTTTGTGCCATATTTCTCCATATTTATAAAGTTTTATTTATATTATACAATAGTGATTTTATTATTTTAATTTTTGGATTTCGTATCACATAGTTGCTTACATATTTATGTGCTTAATACGATCAAACATTATGCTTTTTCTGGCGTTATTTCGATAAATAAAATATCGTTTAATCTTATAATAAAAAAATATATGATTTTATAAACGAAAAAATAGATTTATGCGATATTTCACTAATTATATTTCTTTTCGTACCTTTCGTTCATCAATATTTCTTAATCACATAAAAATTGAGTTCTTTGACACAATAATTACTGAAAGCTTATTTCTCGTTTTAGCTATAAATCATTACGAACTACTCTAAGTAAGTTAGTAATTTATTTTACGGAAGAAAGTTTGTTACTACATCTTCGTAATTTTTTAATCAAATTACAACACAATTCCTTGTACTGTATAATAAACTTTTATATGATACATCTCCTTAAATATTTGTTATTTTTGTAGATAGACATAATTCGTGGTGAAAAGACAATGTTATAACACAGTTACTTTGAATAAAAACTTGATAGTTTCTTAATTTAATTGCCTTTGTACAGAAAATTTACGAAATAATTAGAAAAAAATTCTAGACAATATTGATGTATAATATAACAATATCATAAATAATTGATCGAAGTTTTTTTTAATAAAAAAATACTATTTGACGATTGATTTTAAAAAATATAAAAAATTATTGTCGTCATGATACATTAACAATATTAACGAATGTATAATAATGTATTATTTATAATAACCATTTATAAGCTTGTTAAATTAAAAAAATCAAATTTTTTGCTGTTACTTTTGCGAATGGTTTATTCTAACAAATAAGGAAAAAATATTTTTAAAATTAATCATGATTCGCTCGATACATCCATGTACAGTAAAAATTATCAAAGTATCTCCACTTTCGTTTAAAACATTTGGAAAAGTAATTGTAGTTTACAATCAATATAAAACATTAAATAAATATTTATCGTTTCTTAAATGCTATTTTTGTAATCTTGTAGATTTTAAATACCTCGATGTTTTTGGCATACATCGCCGTTTATTTTTTTTGTTTTTTTTTTTTTCAATAATGTAATATTACATATGTACAAGTTACTATTATAATATATAGATGATAATATATAAATTAATAATATTGGTGTGGTTACTTTACTAATAAATTTAGAAAGTAAATTAGTAGTTTTCATCAAAGAAAAAAGTACCCGATAATTATATACATAATATTAAAATTTATCTCCAAAATATGCTTTAATAACATATGATTTGATTGATTAGTATTAATTAAATTATTAAATATAAAGTTGATAATCTAAGAGCTGACTAGTTTTTATTTAAGCTATTTTTAATTTAATCAATAATAGCTAATTCCAATTTGCAATTTGTATAACAATAAATGTTCAATTTCTTAAATCAATTATTAATTTGAGATTATTTATATTATATATAAATTACTTTCTATATAAATATTAAATATGAATGCAATACATCATCTTAATAATTAAATATTAATAAGAATATAATGAAGAGCTTCATATTTAATTCATAAGCACTGATAATTAAATGAAATGCTTATAATATGAATAATCTAATATAATGGCTTAAGCAAAATTAAAATTAATTCTACATGTTTAAAGTGAAGAGAATTTACAAGTATTTAAGAATTCAGTAAAAAGTGCACGAAAACTTTATTACGTTGCAACATTATTAATCTCTATAGATTTATTAAAATAGCTTTATTAAATTTCATAGCCATAAAATTTTTGTTATATGTGCGAGTATTGAAAAATCGAGCAAACGATTTATGAAAATTTATTCGTCTATGCCTTGTATTTCACGTTTTTATATTCATTAAAAGAACCTCCATCTACGGCATCTACACACTTATCACCAATAAGTACTTCACTGTTACATTCCAAAAATTGACATTATAATATTCAGTTATTACATTTATAAAACATAATAACGTAAAATAATTCTATTCCTAATGAATAATATAAAATGAAGGGAAATTTTTTTTTTTTGTTTTTTTTTGTTTTTTTTTTACATTTAATTTCATAATTTACCAATTTAAATTCATAATGCGTCTAGCAAATTATGGTATGGCTAACAAAAACACATTGTCAAGCACAAAATGCCTATTGTAAATTAACTCTAAAACCTAATCATAGAGCAATTCAACGAGTCATTCGGAAATCCGTTTTGCCCGTCTCCTTTCTATAGGTTTGTGTTTTACTTGGGTGTTTGTAGTCGTTGCACTGGCATTATAGAGAAAACGGCAACTTTATCCAAGAATTTGTACATAGAAAATCCTTTTTATATCAATTTCTTTAACAGCTTGTCTTTTCTAGTCTTAATAATCATGATAAGTCAAATGTCATTTCAACAATATATTTACAAAGTATAATAAAGAAAGTGTTGAGGTGGCTTTATTTATTTTCTAACCAATAAGTTTTGATAACAATCAGACGATGGAAGAATCAGTTTTAATGATAAATTCTACGACTGAAAATGATGTAGGTATACGTATATTTTGCGAAATTTCATTGCTGCGCTTTATTTAGAATGCTAATATTAAAGAAATTGTTCTGGTGTATGCTGCAAATGTAAAAACATGGCTTTTATTTTTTTTTTTTTAATAATTTTAGGATACATCGATGTCAAGGTTAACACTCGAAAATGCAGCAGACAACAGTAATGAAACTAAAAGCAATATCAATAAGATTAATAACGATGAATCAAATTCTAATATTGAGGAGCGCTATAATAAAGTAAAATTAAATCTAATTTTCTTATTGAAGCTTACTTAGAAGATTCTGACAAATTTCTGACAAATAACATTTTAATTATAGCTTAGAGGTTTTGCTGTTAAACTTAAGAAGAAAGTATCAGATTTAATGGATCAAACCCAATTATTGGAATCAGAAAATCAAAGGCTTAACAATGACAAAGAAGAATTATTAAGTAAGATACTTCGTATGTCCGATAGTGCCAAAAAACTACAGGTATAATAAATTAAAAAATTAAAATAAAATATAAGAATATAAATATAAGTATGTCGTATGGAAAATTGATGAAGGTTTATTTGGTAGCACTGTTGCATTTAGAAAATGTCTTATTAATAATAATATGGTAAGCGATTGTGGGTATTGAATTTTAACATTTATTAAAATAAATACATAATATATCTTTAAGAAGTAGAAGATATTTATATGATAGTTATTCATTTTTCTGCTATCTATTGATTATTAAGGTTATTTACAAGCATTTATTTACGATACACTTTTATGCTTAAATTGAAGTTTGGTATATTGTAATAATTTCATACATAATTATATACAATTCAGTATTTTCATACAAAATATTTTTATTTAGACCATACAATCTCAATACGATAAGCTTCAAGATGATATTGAATTGGTGAAAAATGAAAATAAAAGACTGATAAAACGTATAGAAAGTATTGTTTTAGAAAATGATTCGCATAAAGATACAATTAACAAAGAAAAAAAAGAAGTAGCCCAACTGACCGCTAAAATTACTTGCCTTTTAGAAGAAAAAACAAAATTTGAGACCACGTGCGAACAATTAGAAAAAAAAATAAAAGATTTAAATAAAGAAATTAAAGCTGAATCGATGGTACGACATCAGAAAGCCAAGGAATGCGAAGATTTGAAAAATTCTTTGGAAACAGAAATAAGGACGCATAAATCAACTCGTACGCTCTTAGATGATATGAAACATAATCGAACAAGTAATAATGTATTATCCTTAGAAGTGGCTAATTACGAGGTATTTGTTTTATCGTTCATTATTGTTTAACTATGTCTAGTTTAACTATGGTGTTAAAGTTTAGTGTTAAAATTAGTTTTTATTATGTATTGTGTGAGACAATTTTTTATTTTTTTCTCATAGAAAAGTATCGAAACTATAAAGACAAAACTTGATGAGGAAACCAATGAAAGAATCAATTTAGAAGCAACGGTAAACCAACATTTAGAAACTATCGAAGTTCTTACTACTCGAATAACTGAACTTCAAAATTCTTGTATAACTAAAACCAACCATATCACTTCGCTTGAACTCAAAAATCAAACATTAGAATCAGACTTGAGCGAAGCAAAACTTGAAATTGCTAAAACTCTAAAAGATAAAGAAAGCTTTGCTAGAGATTCTAAAAATTTAGAAACTTCTAAACAAAATCTAGAAGCAAAAGTTGAGTTACTTTCATCGGAAATAATTAAATTAGAAGAAGATAGCAAGTAAATAAATATTTAAAGACTAAATATGTATTGAAAAATTTAGCTATTATTGCAATTAATATTCATAATATTACGTATTATAAACTTATAATTGTTATAATCTCAATGAACTTTAATTTGCAATCATAAAATAAAATAGAAGCTAATTTTATTTCTTTATAATTACTATGTATATTATTCTCTATACATTGTATTTTTCTTTATTTTTTTTTTTTTATTATTTTTTTTTTTTTACTTCAGGATGCGTATTAAAGCATTTCAAAGTCACGTCGACGAATTAAAACGTGAAACTTTTGAATTAAATTTAACTCTGGAGAATAGTACAAAAGAAACGAGTATTTTACAAGAAGAATTTGAAAATTACAAATTACGAGCCCAAAGTGTTCTTCTTAAAGCGAAAACCGTCCCTACCAATGACTTGGAAGAAGAGGTTGAAGATTGTAAGCAGCAAATTTCCATCATAACCGAAAAGTGCGAAAATTATAAAGAAAAAACTGAATCCTTAATGAAAGAAATTACGTTATTACAAAGTGAGGTAAATCGTACGAGCGCTAATGAAGAAGCGTTGGTTATAAAATTATCAAAATTAAGGCAAGAATCAGTTGCTTTAATAGATAAATACAAGAACCAAGAAATTGAAATGCAAAAATTGCAAATTAATCACGAGAAAGCAATAGATAATTTAAAAATCAAGCACGAGGTAAATTATTAAAATATATTCAAAATATACTATAAGATTAAATGACATTAAATATAATAATAATGAATTTAGGAGGAAATGCATAATATTAAAAAGGAACACGAAGAAGAAATTAAAAATATAAATCTGAAAGCTGTTTCGAATTCTGTAATAAATACAGAATCAACGACTGACGAAACCATACCGCCAATTATAATTCCAGAACCACCTCCGCCACTTATTGGAAGGGAAGAATGCGAAGTATATTCTCATTTTATAATTACAAAACAACAGAATTACGTGATTTTCGACAAAAATGTACCATTATTTTCTTTTACATTCTTATCAGGGCTCAGAAAATACAGAATCTTTACATCAAACGACAAAAAATACCGAACGTAATCAAAGAAGAATAATAGCACCTGAACTACCAATGAGAAATGCCATTACACCGTTAGATCAACTATTAGAATTTCCTTTCGACGAACATGAAGTTGTATCGAGAGCTCCTGAAAACAACTCCGAGGTGACAATTTACAAAAATCGTGTGAAATATTTGACCGAACTTCTGGCAGATGCCGAAAGAGATATAGCAAAACTTACTCAACTCAATCAGTTACTTAAAGAGGATATTCGCAGACAAAAGCGATACGTTGAAAGAGAGAAAGAAGCAGTCAATTTTGAGTACCTGAAAAATGTTGTTCTTAAAGTGTGTACAAGTAAAGAATTTTAATATTACCGAATTAAAATAATTGTATTGCTAAATATTCACTTTTGTTTTTGTAGTTTGTAACATTAGAGAATCGGGATGAACGTAGTCGATTGGTTCCAGTTCTTGATACTATTCTTAAACTAAGTCCCGAAGAGACACATAAGTTGAATGAAATTGTTTCGTCAACTGGTGGTGGTAAGTTACACAAAATATAATTTTAATGTAAATATGAGACAAATGCCTTTGATTTAAAACAAAACAAAAAATTTGTATTCATTGTTATTTTTCTTTTAGCAAACTATTGATTTAGAGAGAGAGAGAGAGAGAGAGAGAGAAACAAAATTAGTTAATATTATAAATATATACATTCATTGTTATTTATTAAAAATGTTGAGTAAATTTGAATTAAATTCAGATATCAAAATTTACCTAACAATACTTTGTATTATTATTTACATTGACATACTTTTGTATTATAATATGATTTTAAACTACTTTACGTTGAAATATAATTTTTTTTTTTTTTTTTTTTTTTCTGAAAATAAATAATAATATGTACAAATAATGTGTTTTAAACCAAAGGCTACGGTTTATCTCCATTACAGAACATTTCATAATCTTATGTGTTTAAATAGTGTCATATAAAAGGAGTTGGATACCTGGCTGGAGTGCAAGTTAATTTGTATGAAGTGTAGAGTAATTTTTATCTAGCCCTAAGTGATACGCATGTGATTAGCTGTTATTATTGTTGCTATTTAGTTGTCTTAAATGTACATTTATGCTTTAATATTTTAGCGTCATTTTGTACACGAAAATGTTTAAAAATTAAATCTCACAATGTGTGAGATGCCGAGAACTGACAGCTTGTGACAAAATGATTCAAATTGTAAAACTCGTTTTATTGTATACCGTTTAAAAATAGCCTTTATCAATGTTATATTTTTGTGAAATCCTGTGAATACAAAGCCAGTCTTAATAATAATGTATAAGTAGATAATACACAAAGTGTTTTAATTTATGGCTTTAATCAAATGAATGAAAAAAAAAAAAAAAAAAAAAAAAAATTAAAACCAATTTTTAAAAAATATTATTTAGCAATAATAATATCATTTTATACCCCCACCCCACCCCACCCCCTATTCCTTTCTATTGATTTTATAGAGAAATTAAAAAATAATTGGAAATAGGTTCAACATGAATGATGTGTTATCACGAGTGATGGTATTACTTAAACTTATCGGAATTGATTAAAATCATTGATAACAATAGTACTATCACTTAGTGGCTCGTGAAAGATTTTTAATTAAATATTGAAAAAATTTAAATGCAAACAATTAATTTCCAAGTAAGTAAAATCGTAATAACAATTTTAGCGTAAACGTATCGTCTGACTAATTCAAACGGTATGTTTATACACATATGTGATACAGTGCTTGTGCCAACATTTTTTATCTATTCACTTATCTTTTGAATATTGTTTGCAACCAGAAATACACTCTAAATATTTTATTTATAATTTGAAAAATCTAAAGTTTTGCAATTTTATCGAAATTTTATATAAAATGTTTATTAAAGAAAGGAAACAACCAAAAATGCATTGTATTCAATTCAATTCTTGTTTCTCCAATTTTCCTTCTATTATAAGTAACGATAATTTTAATAATACTTCGATACTTGAATACTTTGAAGACTATTATGCTATTATAAATATTAAATACATTAAATAATATCAACTTCACATAATAATATGAAATATATTTTTAAACATTAAATAGACGTATAGAGTGAAATTGAAAATTAAATAACATGAGCATACAAATGACTATTTGGATGAAATATAAAATATAATACTGGTTGATCGATCAGATTATTTTGAATAATAATTCAAGAAGTAAAAAAATTGTTGTAATACCGAAGCGTGAAATTTTAAACTTTCTTTTTATGTTGCGCAATACGAAATTTGATAAGAAAAGAAAAACAATGAAAATTATATTTCTATTTCTGATCCTTTCCCAAATATGTTAACTGCGCGCACTTTCGATTTTATATGATATTTTAAGAATTAGATATATATTTTTAAAAAATAGGTGGATCATTTTATACCAAAATAGAATATAATTTAAGATTTCCGAGGCAGTATGCATATGTATATACACAAACGGGCTGAGAATATGAAACTGGACTTTTTGGACTTATATTAATTTTTCTAAAAATACACGACGAGATAAATGTCAAAATAATTTTCCAATTATTAAAAACAAAAAAGAAAAAGAAAAAAAAAGAATAGACCTTTTTATCTGTAGAATTGAATTAGACATTCGTCATAATTTTTTAATTACGAAAATTGTAACTTATGTTAATTTTACAACTTTTAACGGTTTTATCATAACCATTTGAACTGAAATTGAAGGGAGAAACAAAAATGATTATTTTAAACTGTAATAGAGAATCTTTAATTATCTTTAATATGCGTGATAAATGCCAATGCAAAGCGTTTGAAATTTTGGATCAGTGCCCAAAGTAAAAATGTAAAAATTGTTCCACCTATGTCATTTTTCACATAGTCAAAAATAATCATTAAGATTGAAATTTAACTAATAAAGTAGAGTAAATTTTATTATTATTTATCGAATATAATATGAAGGAAAGATATTTATCAATATAATAGATGCCGCGTATATTTATATTCGCCTAAAACATATATATATACACATATATTTTTACATCGACGCGCCTATAAATAATAATTTATATTAAAAATATCTATAATTATTGGTTGAGCAAAAATTAAGGCAAGCAAAAATATATGTAAATTTATACAAAAAATTATCGTAATTTTACTACACACAATCTTCACTCAATCGAAACATTATGACGAATAATATTATTATTACTAATAGTATAGCAGTATTTTTCAAGTATATTTTTATGATTGCGAATTTAGAATGCGCACGCGAAGCAGCTTGTATCGGATATTATAAAAGGAAAAAATTGTTAACTAAATCGTCGTTAAAGCTGTGCTGTAAATTTTATGCCTTATATTGATAATGAAATTCTTTAGGATTTGTTAGATATGAATTTCAAATATTTTTAACGAATCGCGGGAAATCATTAGACATTTGGTCCTTGAGTGAGGACTAATCTGCCAGCCACCAGCACCACCTCCGCCACCACCACCTCCGCCGCCACCACCACCACCACCACCACCACCACCACCACCACCACCACATTGTTGGACCAGCTGAACTATATTATAATTCGTGGCAGTGGTAAGGCAGTTTAGACAGTTCAATATTCACCGCCAGTTGTGTTACACGGTGTTGTGAAAATAAGTTCATTGGATTCTTCTTGATTCGGAATTTTGCGAGGCTCGTTAATAATTTATCGAGATAGTGAGCCTCTTGCGTATCAGAGTGCAACTGTATAGTGTCTGTTTCACCTTCCTCCCTAACCTGGTGTACGTATATATAATATTAATTGAGCGCGTCAAATATCAGCTCGTTTAGCTTGGGTTATTAAATTTCCGGTCATAGAAAGGTCGGTCTATGCTAAATTTAGGCCAGTGCTTTGAACTTTTCTTTGAACTTTTTCAGTGAAAAAATCCAATTCCACCGGGTGAATCGAAATGTCGCAAATTGGAATACAAACTTCCGATCAGTTCAAGTGGGTATTCAAATATTGCCATACAAGCGTACACATTATAATGTTTACCTACATTCAATTATGCTAATTTAAAATAATCTTTAAAGATTGTTACCGAAGATTGTCAATGGCGGTATTGCTGGAATTATTGGAGTGTCGGTGATTTTCCCATTGGATTTGGTGAAAACACGATTGCAAAATCAAGTTGCTGGACCTGGAGGAGAGAAATTATATTCTTCAATGTATGTGCACCAATCATTATTAAATAATATTGACCTCAAGCGCGATACGACGGCTATGCTAATAAAGCTTAATCAATTGATTAATTAGATTATGAAATGTAGAGAAAATCGGCGAACGTGAATGAAATAACGAGTTGATTATTTATAACGTCGATGATGGAACTTAAATTTTTATCGAAAATCTAATAAAATTACAGCACGAATTAAATTAATTTAGCTAATTGAATTTTCGAGCTCAAGCTTTACCATTCGTAATTAATTAAGAAATTACACGTGCTTTGCATTATTTTAATTGCATTAATTAATTAATACAGTGATGATTTTTTAGGTTTGACTGTTTTAAAAAAACCTATAAAGCTGAAGGTTATTTAGGTATGTACAAGGGGTCAGCTGTAAATATTCTTTTAATCACTCCAGAGAAAGCCATAAAGCTTACTGCCAATGATACATTTAGATATTATTTATCCAGTGATTCCAGGTAATATTGATTAATATTTAAGAAATAAAAAATTATAAATAATAATGATAATCTAATGTAATTTTTATATTGAAGAAAATCACAATATATATTTATATTTTATTTATTTAGTTTTTCCTTTGTGTTTTTTGTTTTTTTGTTTTTTTGTTTTTGTTTCATTTTCTTTAACATTAATTATATTTATAATTATAAGCCTATAAACACATAGTATTTATTATTTTTAATTAAATTTCTATGCAACAAAATCCTATGACTTATATTAGTATTGTAATACGTAATATTTTTACTCTTATATTTCTTATTATTATTATTATTATTATTATTATTATGATGATGACGATGATGATGATGATGATTATTATTATTATTATTATTATTTATTTATTTATTTATTTATTTATTTATTTTTTTCTTTTTGTTCTAATTCAGTAAGCCATTATCATTGGTGCGGGAGATGTTGGCTGGTGGATCAGCAGGAGCTTGTCAAATAATTATTACAACACCAATGGAATTGTTAAAAATTCAAATGCAAGATGCTGGTAGATTAACAGCTGCAACTGCAAATACAGCAAAAAGTAATCCGCTTGGCTTAATTAAGATTAGATAAGAATAAATCATTGTTTATTGATTGTGGCCACCTCTCGTCACTTTATCTAAACTTTATTGTTACTCGTTTGTTATAGATGCTAAAGTGTTAATATCTAAGAAGGCATCTGCTCTCTCTTTGGCACACGAACTTTGGAAAAAGAAAGGAATTTTAGGACTGTATCAAGGTACAGGTGCAACTGCATTGAGAGATATTACATTTTCCATTATTTATTTTCCCTTATTTGCTAGATTAAATAATCTAGGTCCAAAACGTTCCGATGGCTCTTGTAAGTTTGTTTCTCATTTAACTTGTTATTGTAATTTTTCTTATGCCATGCATAACTTGGCACTATTCGTTTGCAGCTGTTTTTTGGTGCTCGTTCCTATCCGGTTGCGTTGCTGGTTCAACAGCAGCAATAACAGTAAATCCATTTGATGTAATTAAAACAAGATTGCAGGCAATAAATAAAGCTCCCGGTGAACCAACTTATAACGGAGTTCTAGACTGTATTGGGTAATAATGATTCAGCTCCCCAAGCTTATTTACAATAATATTATTTCTAAAATTTAAACACTTACAATATTATAATTACTAAATTAATATTTCAATAATAATTTCAATTATATCATCTTTTTTGTTTTTTGTTGGCTTTTGCTTTTACATCTGTTTCTTTCTTGTTGCCTTACATGCCTTTATGAGAAGACATTTTTTTTTTTTTTTTATAGAAAAACCATAAGGAACGAAGGCCTGACGGCATTCTTCAAGGGTGGCGCGTGCAGAATGATTGTGATAGCGCCTTTGTTCGGGATTGCGCAAACCGTCTATTATCTTGGAGTTGCCGAAAAACTCATGAAACTTCAGTAAGAATGAAAAAGCTTTAATTCCTTTATGGGCATACATACGCAAGCGCCCGTAAACGAGCGTCCACGCGTATAATAGTCAATTGCTCGATACGACCGACAATAATGATAATAATAATAATAATAATAATAGTTACGAAATGTACTGCAAATATAATTTGTATAGGTGCTATATTTATCGTATCAGGTGGCATTGAAAAGCTTGCCGTAATAGAACTTATAAACATTGATAATAGTTTAAGTTTAAGTCTGCCATTACCACCTGTAATGATGTTATATATTATTAAACTACTTTTAGAGATTGATTTAAAATCTCATAAAAGTTTCTCTCATACGTCAACAGTGGCATACAATTTAACATTCAAAACTTAAGAAATTCCAAGCTTTTCCTTCCAGCACGTTGCTTTATCACATTATTGTGTATCATTAACTACCGTTTCCATTATAATACTTGTAATTTTATGTACCTATACACAGTATATCAGTACATAATTTGCTTATGTTACTTATTGATAGTATGTGAGCACGGATTTGTGCAAATGCTAGTGTTATATTTCTCGTTACTTTTACCAAAAAGTTTTCATATCACGTAATATAAGTGGTCGTGATTTACTAAAACTGCCTTTTTTTTGTTAGTGTAGTAATCATGTACCCATTTACATTGCAACTAAAATAAATCAATAATGTAATGTCTTGAATAGCTATAAAATATAGTAAATTTAATCAACAGGGATATATGTGTAAATATATATATATATATATATATATATATATATCTCATGTCTCTCATCAATGAAAGTATTTTGATTTTGTAATTAGGATATATCGTAGTAGACTCAAGATCGATAAATTTAGTATAAATAAATAAATTTATGTATTTTATTTTATATTATCCGATTTAAATAGTCAAATCGAAGGTCCAACTTAATGAAAGATTTTAGTTGCAATATGAATATTACAATCATTCATAAATTGAACAAAATTGATATTCATATTTCCGCGATCTATTAGATTTCTTCAATTGAACAATCAATCCTTAGTTAAATAAATAGCCAATCTTTAATTTATAAGTCGAGAATAAGTTTAGTTTTATAAAGAGGAAGTGAACGGCAATACCTCGAAAAGAAAGCCTCCAGTATACATCTGAAGCATGTTAAATTGAATACTGCTTTAAGTGATATTTATAGATATAGAAGATATAGAGTTTAATTTATTTCTTTTCCGAAGCAAAAATTAAGCTTCATATGAAAAACTAGTAAAGAACGATTGCTTCTGACGATAGTTCTTTGAGCATTTAAAATGACAATTAAGTTGCTGAAATTGTAATGAGTAATGCTGCGCTTTTCATTACTCACGTATTATTACGATAAAATATTATGTTCCAACGAAACGTTTGTAATCGTATTGTTACTGGATTATCCAGATATGTGTATATGTATTATAATTAGTGAAGCATTTGACAAAGACCGAATGACGGTTAATTGTATTTGACGCTGCGCGTTAAATGTATTTAACCAGACATATCTTCCGCCCTTTTACCCTTAGTTTTTAATTTATTTACAGTATGCCATATTGATTCAATCGTTAATTATATAATATTTATATGTTACTATATATGAAACTGTATACATTATATACAAATAGTTAAAGAATGATTTTTTATGATTTTAATGTAAGTTCTTATATTTCAGAATGACAGCAATATTATTGTCGTAATTTACGATATTTATTATAATGCACTATTATTACATCATATCTCTTGTTAATTTTGTTATAATTGTTTTATGTACAAAGAAACAACATTCCATCAAGAGTATTGTGTTTTTCTTAATCAATCGAACAACAAATAGTTTACAGTGAAATATATAAGGCAAAAATACTAACAGGCTTTTTTCTTTTAATGCTTTTTACAATTTTTTGTTTGTTTGTTTTTTTTTTTTGTTTTGTTAACATGTCACAGTTGTACAACTAAAGCCTTAATTTTTAACACCTTATATCCAAATATTAAACAACGAAAATATTAAAGCAGAAAACTTACAATGTACTACAATACACAATGGTATAACAATAAGGACAATAAGGAGTAATCGCGTTCTTTAATAATACCGAGTAAAATTCATCTTAGCGTATACATCAAAATAATATAGCTTTATTTTTAATTTATATAAATGAGTAAAACGCGATGTAATACGGGAATGTTCTAGCACGCCACTCATGCACTCGTGAAATTAATCGCTAAATCGGCGATTAACGTTGCGTCCAAAGAGCGCTGTACGGATTTCTGGTATAAGTTGCTGGGCAATTAATTCCAGTCTGTTCTCCAAAGTGTTGACGATCTTTATGCGACCTGATTTATAAGGATAGTAACGTGAATTTAAATTATTTCTATTGAATAAATATTGAAAAATTAGATATTTCAAATTATAGGTCGAATATTGTCTCTCTTTGAATGAGTTATTAAATTTGTTTGTTTTTTTTTTTTTTTTTTTTTTTTTTTTTTTTTTTATAATTTCAATTTAATTTTGACGTTGGTTGACATAACTTTTAATGCTTTTTGATTATTTATTAACAATTTAATTATTTGCTTTTACAAACAAAATTAAATTAAATAAATTAAATAGAGAATGTACTAAATGTTCACCTTTGGCAGCTAGTAATTCAACGCCTCCACAACTCTCAGATGGCAAATAATTATCTTGATCTAGTTTCAAATTGGTCTCTTTTTTAGCC